TATATCACATGATCGGATGCAACAGCCTCCTCGCATCGGTAAGGGCGATTACGGAAAACATCAAAACGTATTTACCAGATATCATATGCTAATTTACCAAGTATCAGATTCATGCAAGAGAGCATTCCCTCCGCTCCAAAAGCTTTTTGCTGCACAAAACAAAGTCATATGCTAATTTACCAAATGTTAATAACATCCCCTAATAAACCAACCGACACATTTCAACTATACACCGCGGCGGGTCGTATTTACAGAAAACATTAAAAAAAAAAAAAACGTGTTAGGAAGCATGTAATGATTCATCCAAAGGCAATTGACATGAAAGTGTCATCATCCAAAAGAGAGTCCATATCGAGAAGATCTTCGTCATAAGCATTGCCTGCTTCTTCTTCTTGTTCCTCTGCATGGTCGATGTTTTTAGCACCCGAGCTGGAGGCCTGTGCTCAATGATCACACATTTGGTGTCGGTCAAACCATCGCATAACACATGTGGGTGGTTATAGTAATTGCATATACTGCTTTTTTACATACCTCGGTTTCTCGAAAGCCCTCGACAACAGTCAACAGTCTACGGTACTGAGCCCGTGCTTCCGGGTATTGAACCATCGACTTCACTCTCGTTAGAGCTTTTTCTAACCTTTCTTCCGTTTGTTTCCTTCCCTCCTTTAGAACATCGCTTTCGTCTTCTCCCTGCCGTGTTGCATCGCGTCTAAAGCCCCTTAGGCCACTGCCCTTTCGCCTCCATCTCAAAATAATTTTCTCAAGAATCCCAACAGACCAGATGATTGTTCGGTATTGTTTCCGAACCTGATGCCCTCTCACATGAGCCTGTATCAAAATAATTCATTTCATAAAAGTAAACCTCTGGCAATAAGATATACAACAAACTTTCTATTCATCATTGGTTAAAAAAGTAAATGGAGACACCAAAAAATCAACACAGTGTTAAGTAACAAGACAATGAGGAAAAACAATTATATTCTTTGCATTTAAATTTTATGAGAACATTGCTTCAAAATGTTGACATCAAGAAGTGTTAGCTGTAACTTCAATCACAGTCAGGTATAGCCGAAAGGATAATGATGCAGAAACATCGAGACGAAAAATACCATATCGCCATGCTTCCACGCTTTCAAGCGAAACGGAAAAGGGATAAAACTAAGTCATTTAAATGAAAAGCGAACCTGGATCTTGACAATTCTTTGTCGAATAAAGAGAAATTCCTTCCTCTTCTTCCAACCACGATACTTTTTCTGGATATGAACAGCAGCAGCATGGACAGCACCTTCATGGTGTCCTGACTTCCCACCCGTCTTGGCAGCCGCAAAAGAAACAGCTAGTTCATCGGATATGTCTGACTCGTCATTCCCAAATTGAGACATCTGTTTCCGCTGGAACGATTGCATCCTGAAAACTTGATGTATGCGATCAGCTGCTTGCGTAGCATTACAGACAGCAGTAAGTGAATCCTTCAAGGAAAGCGCTTCTGGTACATCACCATAACTCGAGGGAGTGGTTTTCCGCTCAGCAACAGTTTGAACAACTTTTGCTCCAGAGGAATCAGCAGAGCTGTTTTCCTTCGATTTGTTCATTGTTAACTTTTCAAGATGACTGGTGAGGGAAAACTCTGCAAGAAAACCCGAAATTCCCTTGTGTCCATTTCCAGAAGCCAAGTCGGCAGCTGTTTTACTCAGAGGAAACTCTGGTGATGGATCAGTCAATGCCCCAGCATCAGCACCCAGAGAGACAAGGACAGCGACAGTTTGCTCCCTGAAAAAAGTTAACAGCGCCAAGAAAGTCAGTTTGATAGAGATAAATGGACCAGTTAAACAGAATTCAAGACAGATCAGTTCGAGCGTTTTTAAAAGAAAAATTCATAGGAGTCCTTGCCTGCCACTGAATGCAGCCCAATGAAGTGCTGTCCATCCATTTGCATCACGAAAATTAATGCTAACTCCTGCTGCTAAAATTGGTTTTATCGCCCAATCATACCCAAGGGCAGAAGCAAAGTGTAGAACACCCTGCCCCTCTTCATCCAGGATATTTGGACCCTTACCATCTTCAGTCACTTTATGTATGAGCCATGTGTAGAGCTTCTCTTCAAACCGGTCCTGGACAACTCTTCCTTTTGCTTCATGTTCAATTGAGTCTTTTTGGGTTGTCCCTGGGGAGAAAGACTCTTTTTCATCCTTTAGCAACATGATTTTACTGATTTGTTTTCGTTTCTCCCCAACACCTTCAAATATGCGACGTTCATGTACAGGAGATCTGTGATCTAGCAGCCTCTCAAACCGCATAGAAAGGGATACTTCAGTTGTAGAGGCACCATAAACATCAGCACCATCAAGGTTTTTGGTAGAGCCAGGGAGGAAATCAAATTCTCGAACTTCACTGCAAGCAAACCTGTCTGAACACGTAATGTAAAATGGAACTTGACCAGCTGTGTGTGGCGGGGCATGACAACAAAGGACACCATCTACTAGAATATCAGCTGGAACCTCCACTTCCCCAAACATGCAAGACCAGTTATATTTAGTTACTTCTTTTTTACTCATCAGAAATGTTCCGATAACCATAACCTGCATGATAGATAGGGTGATAAATAAGAAGAGAGATAACCTACAGGATAGATAGGATAATGGGTAAAAAGAGAGTTATCTCGCAAACAGAACAAATAGCAAATAACTGAAAACCAGGAACTATAGGGAAACACCAGATGGTGAAAAAAAAGCATGAAACTCAGAAACCACAGCTTAACAGGCCTGTGGAGCAAGAAACCCACAATCAACAAGAAGATTCAATCATCTATTCTGCTACAAATGCATCAAAGTTCTTAACAGCATAAAAGCCAAAAATGAACCCTCAGTATTAAAAATCATTTTGAAAATTGTGTTGGTAAAAAAGTAGGTGCTTACCTGAAAACTCTGCCATATGATCATTTTATCAATACGTTAAACTGTTAAATTACCTCAACTTCTGAGTCAGTGTGCCCCCATTTTGGCCAGAAATCAATTACGGTGATGCGCTGATCCTGTGAGAGAGAAGGGCTCAAGGAGGACCCAGCTGCTTCGGTTTCACATTCAACAGTAGTCCATGCAATGCCACCAGATGACGATTGCATCTGCAGATCCTCCATCTCACCAAGTTCTTTACTAGCCCATCGAGAGAAACTGTCAACCTTTTTCAAACTATCCTCCTTACTCAACAATGACTTTCTAGGTAACATCAGGCTTGTGCTTGTCTCATATTGTAGATCATCATGGTTTAATTTAGGTATATATTCAGATTCCACACTTGTAAGAAGAAATTGAAGACCATTCCCAATAGACTGTTGACTTTGAGTATCAAGAAGACTGGAAAATGTCTCAAAATTATCATGTGCTCTCTGCTCAAATGCCGTCATATCCATATCGCCCACCCCAGTATGTGAAGCCATATCCATAGGCCATTTTGGCACTGGTAAATTGTCCTGAACAGGAATTACAGAGAAAAGAATCTCAAGCTCAGGGAATTAATAATAAGTACTCTGTGTGCGAGATTGAATGGATCAGCAGACAAACTATAGAGGGAAAGGAACCCGTAATCATATATGGGTACAGGATCCTGGGATTTCTGATGTCATTAGCCTATTGAAATAAAAGCCAGAATAAACTAAATTAGGTATACAGCATGTAACTTTTATCCAAGCAGCGCAACTGCAACTACATTTATCTTAAATCAGTTGCCTTTAAGAAACTTTCTATATTAGTTTCTTTGTGCATGATCAAAATAAGCATCTGTTGACTTTTGTCAGTTCTGCCAATAAAACTTCATATAACACAACATAGCACATATAGTTGATACCGTGTCATATTTATGATGTAAAATGACTTTCTAGACAGTAAAATTATGGATACTCTATCCCCTCCCCACATTTTCCCCAGCTCTATAAATCTCTAATCGTCAACGAGCACTGCTTTTTAATATTATCATTTGCAGAATTTACTAGTAGCTAATGAGTATGTGAATATATATCTTTTCACATTACCTGCCAATTTTCTTGGGTTTTAAGAGGATTTTCTAGCCCAGGAACAGGCATCAAACCACTCGTAGAAGGCTGCATCTGAGTTAATGGGTCATTACAAGGTGCATTATGATATCTCGTTGTTGAATCCTTAAAGGCAGCAGCACCCCACGCTGGGATGTCAACCGATCTCTGGGAATCATTCTCCTGAACCTGAGAGACAATACCCACATTGGGAGCTAAGGTCCACCCCTCACGAGTTCCTAGAAAAGAAAACAAAAGACATTCTCAGCAACATACAGAAGTTTAGAGAAGGAAGAAATTAAGCAGCGGAGAGCAGCACAGAAAACTAAGGGAGGAGTACCTGAAAAAGAATCCATATAATAAGAATTCGATGTACCAGCATCCTGCATGTCCCTTATCTGAGGAATAGCAATTTTAGGATCAGGAAAAGCTTGCAAACTAGTACTTGCTTGATGAATATCCCCTGTAAAAAATGAGATATAAGATTGGAGTTCAAAACCCCATGCACACTCAATGACGAGGTAGCGTTAACAGACATGTTAATGCTCCTAAAGTAGGTTAAACAACAGTCCTCCATCTGAAAACACTTCACTAAACACAACAGTCAAAACCAGGACACAGAAAAAGAGGGAATGATACCAGAATCGGCATCTTCACATAATGATGAAAAACTGTTGGTTGGACTTGCTGTTGAATCAATATTTACTGATGTGTTGCCATTTACAGAATTTGAACTATTTTCTTTAATTCCTCCAGTACTTGTCCGGTTACCCTGTGGTTACAATATGGGATATAATGATGTAAAGCACAACATATGATGATGAACTTGAGAAAACAGACACCATAGAATAGACAACATACGTTAAGAGGTAGAATGTAATGCTGAATAATGGAAATTTAATATCTAACAAACGCACCTAGAAACAACACTGACAAGAAAAACTGTACCTTAACTTCCAAGTAGTGAACAAAAACAATATGCATAAACTCCCTGTAATGACACAGCAGCCAACATAAAAAACAAGGGGTGTATATAAGTACCAAACTGAAAAAATGACACTTTAAAGAAAACAACGGCGAGAAGCTTAGTCTTCTTCTACAATTCATCTCACGAGCCAATAAGTTCAGGCTTCCCATTACAGGACGGATTCCCATTACACACTAGAAAGAGTTGAGTGAAAAGAAGATAAATGAAGTGAGAGCAGAGCCACAGAAAAACCAACGTTTTGAAAGGCAACATTGCTGATATATACAACAGAAACTGAAATGTGTACACAAATTCATACTCACGGCTCAAGCATCCAGTAACTTCGTCTCTGGAAATTATCATTTTCTTCCCCATGTGCGTAGTAACAATGTAGCACGTCAACACTTCCCACCTATACTTTCGAAAATTTAGATACATTTTATTATCACACTTCATTCATAAAATGAGAACTAAAAGCAAATAGTTTGACAACGGTACATAAACATCACGTGTCTGCTGCAATGAATTACCAAAACATAATTGGAATTTGGAAATACTAGCCTTCAGCTTCTCATGAGCTTCTTTGACCGTCTTCCCATCCTTTTTCTTCCTCCAGCTGTGACAGTCTTTCCTGAAGTACCTGAGGACCTTCCTATCAAAAAGAAAAAGAGAACCACCTAGAGGGTGGAAAAACTCATGTCAATTTACAGAATTAAATAGATATGTTACTTCATTTTGTCAATTTTGACGGGATGCAAAAAGTCTGACTAATCTTGCAAATAGGCAAACTGGGTAAATACCATAAATGCGGAAGTACAAGAGTAATTTGTACTCAGAATAGACAGAACAACCCACGTAGAACATAATTTATGTACAAGATCAAACTTGAGGAAAGCTGAGCTCTGGTAGCCTTTTGCCTTAACGCAAGTCAAAAGTAAAACCTAAGACAGTATGTAGACTGTCCGCAACACAGCCTCAACCTATTCAGACACCCAAAACAGAGACAACAGCAACAAACGTACTAGGTGGTCGGTTAGGAGGCTCGGACGCAATATGAAACTTCTGATAGTTCCGAAGAATTTCACAAATCTCGGCAGGCCTCAGCCACCGGTTCTGTGCTTCCGATAGCAATTGTTCTATATCTGCAAATACGTTGAAAAGGGAGAAAACATGAATTCTAAACGTTCCTCAGTCTGAGTAAAGCACGAAACTGAAACCATCGGAGCCACTAGCACAAAGACATCAACCTCAACTCACAGAACAGCTACACTATCTCAGAAACAAAGCAGCCATAAATTTCATTTCTGGGCAAATATTTCAAAACCTCGAAATTAGATTAAGTAAACAAATTCAAACTAAAATCAAGATAATATACAAGACGTATAATTCCCGTTCTGTAATGAAGTGGCATGAGCCAAGTCCCCCCCCCCCAGTGGGAGGACAGGGGTTTCCACTTCTTTCCCTGCCAAATGTAGGAGCTCAAGAAACAATGGATGACAATGAAAACCTAACAATCGCAAAAGAAAAAGCCAGAGCAGATTGATGAAATAGAAAAGAAAAACTGAAGGAAAAAAAACCCTAAACAGCGAGAGAGGATAAGAGAAGATACCTAATCGAGGACCGAAACCGAAAGGCCCGCGATCCGCCATAGATCCACCAGAGATCTCGACCAGAGAGAGAAGCAACAAACCCTATATATCAAACCCTAAACGATCCATACAGGTGAAGCAAAAGGGAGCTTTTTTAAGTTTTCTTGCTCTGGAGCTTTCAAGGTGTGAAAGCGACCTTTTTTTCCTCTGGAGCCTCTGGGGAACGACGATGGAAAGCGCCTATATGGTGGAGGTAGTTTAGTGATCACACGGTCATCCAATAAAATTATGACACGTCACAAGCCATGAAATTCATGCGTCTTAGCGTTTCTGTGTGTAAATATTCTCGTTAATCACAGTTTTAAAAGAGTAATTTAAAATTACCTTCGTAATTAGTAGTTTAAAAAGGATATAAATAAATTATAAAATCAGGAAATTTGGACAAAAAACAATACAATGTGAATCCCCATTCTTTCTGCATTCCTAATAAATATTGTATTTTAAAAATAAATACCAATTTTCCGACCGAAAACCAAGATAATGTGGTATTATAATGAGTAGATGAGGTGAATAACTGTTTGTTCCTTGTCTAATTTATGAAATTACATCACATGATTATATTATAAAATAGCCTTTTATAATACATCCTATATTTTCTTTATATTTAAAAAACGGTTTGTTACCAATAGAAAGGTCATTTTAAAGCATTATTTACTATAAAACATATATAGTATATGATTTACGTTGTTATTTTTGGTATATATGAGCAAACCGTACCGGATTTAACCGGGCCAACTTATGAGTGGACAACTCACAAGGGTGACGTACACGTGTCCCCCCACGGGCAAAGCACACTTATGATTCGGACAAACCGATAGACTTACCTACAACAGGGTTGACCAGATTTTCAGTTGACTTTACATGATCACCGTCAAAATGTCCCTTCCTTCTCGTGCAACGGCGGATCTGAGCGCAATGCGTTATACTGCCGTGCACCGCGAAACGCTGAATCCATAGCCTTCATCGTATGGTTACTAACGTGACCGTTCTTTTTCTCGAAAAGAGACAGGTCAATCAGGGGCGAAAGCCAAAAGACTCTGGAAACTACGAGAAAAATGAGTCAACTCGTCGCGAGGTCGGCGCTGCGTGCTCTTCTGTTCGCCGGAAGATTCGGCGGCGCAAACAGTACAAGTCTCCTGAGGACGGTCGCCGTCGGCACGATTACAGAATCGCCGGAGATGGCCGGACAGAGGTGGATTCACGACCGTAGCGGCGGATTCTGCGATTTCAACTGGAGGAGGAGGATGAGTTCGTCGGGGGAGATGGAGAAGGAGAATCTGGCGGCGAAGACGAAGACAGAGCAAAACGGCGGCGGAGCGGTGGTTCCGAGTTACTGGGGAATAGAAAAGCGGAATATGACTCGGAAAGATGGCTCTGACTGGCCTTGGAACTGTTTCATGGTAATAATTCAGCCAAAAAAAAACATTTACACAGCTATGTATATGCTTGATTCGTGTGTATTTAAGTAAATTCATTTTGTGATGCACTGATCATTTTCAAACATGCCGCCATGCAAAACGGAACAGCCATGGGAGACATATGGAGCAGACTTGTCGATAGATATGAAGAAACACCATGTCCCCGGGAGCTTTGTCGACAAAGTCGCTTACCGGACCGTCAAGCTTCTTCGTATCCCGACCGATCTGTTCTTTCAGGTATCTGTCCTTACAATCCTTCTGAGTTATGATCGAAGTTAGGGTTGTTTTTACCAAACCCACGAATCAAATCGAACAAAGTTACAGTCTTTTTTACTTGGATACAATAAAGTCATAGTCAGAATTCTGCAGAGACGGTACGGTTGCCGAGCAATGATGCTGGAGACAGTGGCGGGAGTGCCCGGAATGGTCGGAGGAATGCTCCTCCACTTGAAGTCCCTCCGGAAATTCAAACACAGTGGCGGATGGATCAAGGCTTTGCTGGAAGAAGCCGAGAACGAGAGGATGCATTTGATGACGATGATGGAGATCGTCAAGCCTAGGTGGTACGAGCGGCTTCTGGTGTTGATTGTGCAGGGAATCTTCTTCAACTCTTTCTTCATCTGCTACGTTCTCTCTCCAAAACTCGCACACAGATTCGTAGGCTACTTGGAAGAGGAAGCCATACATTCGTACACGGAGTTCTTGAAGGATATCGACAGTGGAAAGATCGATAACGTTCCAGCCCCCGCCATCGCCATTGATTACTGGAGATTGACGAAGGATGCTACGTTAAAGGATGTTATTACAGTGATTCGTGCTGACGAGGCTCATCACCGAGACGTCAACCACTTTGCATCCGTAAGTAACCCTTTTTTTTAATATAAACCCATTGCCAGAAACTGAGAATCTGACAAGACTTGGATTAGGGGTAATGTTCTGTTCCCATGTTTTCTATCTAACACTCATGCGTACGGATCGTACGAGATTTCAGGACATTCATGCTCAAGGAAAGGAGTTGCGAGAAGCACCTGCTCCTACCGGATATCACTAGAATATGGTTTCATATATACAATACGGAATCAATTTATTTGTACAAAGCTACAAAATCCCGTGTGTGTGTGTTCTATATTTACATACGCTGGTGCAAAGCTCTTCATATGACAAAAACCATACACATTTGTGCTCAGTTACATTATCCAACTTGGCTGTTCTTTTTTTATGTTTGTGCTTGTATTATTCCCCCACGAACGAAGGAAATCTCATCGCGACGTTCTTATTTTGCTGAATCCGGGTCGGATCCGACGCGGGTTCGAATCGGGTTAACGGATCAATGAAACATCAAAACGATTATAAAAAATTAGGAAAATGACAATTTTCTACACGAATTTTAGCCAAATATGATCTTTTCATATACGTATTTTTAATTTAACAAAAAACTATACTTTAATTCAAAATTTCTTAAATTTCTACACGAATTGTTAAAATTAATAATAATTATATACATAATTATCATTTTCGTTAATATTTTTCGGATTCTATTAACTAATGTGTAATGTGTTGATGTATATGGTAGTTCTAGTAACTACTTAACTAATGCATTAGTTAACAGAATTCGAAAATAGTTAACAGAATTTAAAAAAAATTTAACGAAAATGATGATTATGTATGTAATTACTGTTAATTTTAACAATTCGTGTAAATATTTGGAAAATTTTAAATTTAATTGTAGGTTTTTGTCAAATTAAAAATACATATATGAAAACTCATATTTGATTAAATTTTTTTTTTTTTAAGAGAAATGTCATTTTTCCTAAATAAAAATTATATCTTTCGGGTGACCGAGAAAAAAAAAAGGTCTATGGAGTCTGGATGAAGCAAAAATAATAGCGCCATTTATTAAACATTGAGGAAAACAAGGGGCATAGTTGTAAATATGTTAAAAATAGACGGGCAATTTATTTTAGTTACGAGGTCCCTTCCCTTTTATCCAGCAAATTCCTTGTAACCGGCAAACCCTAATTTTCGTTTCCATCGTCTTCGTTTCTCGTCTATCTCTCCCTCGCCCACTACGAGTCTCTCCGCCCGCTGGGAAAATCATGTCTCACTTCGGAAGGTCGGGCCCTCCGGATATCGCCGACACATACTCCCTCCTCGTTCTCAACATCACCTTCCGTAAGCTCTCTCTCCCTATCTCTATCACTGTTCATCGTTCGCCGGAAAGGGGTTCCACTAATTTTTGTTTTGTGATTATTAACCTGCTCTTCCCTGGTTTTCGTTTTTTTTTCTTGATGTGGTTAGGCACTACTGCTGATGATCTATATCCTCTCTTTGCCAAGTACGGGAAGGTCGTGGATGTCTTTATTCCCAGGGATCGGAGGTTTTTTTTTCACTCTCTTATTAGCTCTCTGTCGTAATTTCTTTCGGGCGTTTATGTGCGGGTTGGTGAGAAAAAAGGATTTTATTGGTCATATAGGCGAGCCTAACCATCTGGGGTTTAAAGGTTGCACGTTCTGTGTTTGGTAATTGCAGAAGATGTTTAGTTTAATTAAACATTGACGAATTAAGTCATTATGTGATGAGTTTATTTTGGGTTTTGTCCACATGATTATAGATTTGAGAATTCGATTAGTGTTTCGGGGTTTCCTGTATTGTGGAAATACCAGTCGAAGTCGTTGCCTTGTCAGTGTGGTTCGTTTCTTCTTGGTGTTACGGGTGTTAATTATGACTCCAATTGTTATCTTAACCACGCTGCAGTTCTTCATATCCTGCTCTTTTATAGGCAAGACTGTTTCTGCAGTGGTTATACTCATCCTACATTTTCTTTTCATTTTTCTTATTGGTTTTTGCATTATGATGATACCCTTATTTCCTATTGGATACTTCTCGTCTTAAGGACTGGCGATTCACGTGGCTTTGCCTTTGTCCGGTACAAGTACCAAGATGAAGCTCAGAAAGCTGTGGACAGGCTCGATGGTTGGTCTTTCTTGTTCTCTTTCCTCTATTACGACATTGGGTTTGACTGGAGTTTCTCTCTTCTTTTCAGGAAGAGTTGTTGATGGTCGAGAAATAACGGTTCAATTCGCTAAATATGGGCCAAATACTGAAAGAATGTAAGTTTCTTTCTTTTTCGGACAACTAAATAACTTATTGACAAATTCAAAGTGATAATAAAGTCGTAGATTAAAAGGGTAGTGCCGTTTCTGTTCTAATACTGTTTTACAATGGCATATCTAATAAGCAAAGTAATGTTTGTTGTAGTTGATTGGTTTGCAATTATCATTTCAGTCAAAAAGGAAGAATTTCTGAATCACTTCCAAGGTCGAGACATAGATCAAGAAGTCGCAGTCCTCGAAGGAGCCGTAGTCCTTACAGACGACGTAGCCCAAGGAGAAGTCGTAGTCCTCGGAGGAGGTGATTTCCTTCTGTAGTCTGTAATTCCAGGAATAGTTCCCTGGGCCTGTGTGTGTGTGTGCAAGTGAAACTAATATTTTATTTGGTTGAATCAGTGGTCTGTTTTATAACCTCTCCTTGCATGTGAAATTGTGAATGCAGAAATACACTTGATTCTTTGTGTATGGAGTACCTAGAAGTAATTTTGTTTTATCTACCTTCTAGGTCCCGAGATGACTACAGGGAGAGGGACTACAAGAGGAGGAGCAGGAGTAGAAGCAGGAGCAGGAGCAGAAGCAGAAGCAGAAGCTATGAAAGGCATGATCGGGACAGGCACAATGAAAAGGAAAGAGATTATGATCGGCGGAGCAGGTCTCGCAGTGCTAGCCCAGATGATCACAAAGGACGAGCTAGAGGCCGTTATGATGATGAGCGTC